ACCTGAAGGGACATTTCACTGGGTTACTGGTTGCCTGGCTTAAACATGTGATGGGAGCTGTCCCAGAATGTGATGGCTGGTTTTCCAGATAAAAGCATCTTTGAAAATTGGGTAAAAGTTGAACAGAAAAACAGCAGGGAAAGAGAAAGACCCTTGGGAGGGTGGGGGGTTTCCACCACTTTTCTGCTTCCAAATTATTTTCCAACCCTGCTAGATTCAAACATCTAATTGAGTCGTGCCTGAAAGTATATGGTAAAAAAAATGGAGAAGCAGATGACGATTTCCACTACAGATGTTAAGAAAAGGATTAAGCAGCTTTTCCTCTCTTCCAAGTCCCCATTAAATTCACTCTTGCCTGGAGAAAAAGAACAGCCAAATTTTTGTTATACAATATAAATACATGTAGATTCTATCTTACAGAAATTCTGTTTTGGCAACATAAATTTTGGGTATGGCAGAACCAAGTGCTATTTTTCTAAAAAAAAAAAAAGGTGCCAGAACTCAAACACGTCATACAACCTGCCTTGCCTACCCTACAAGGTTCCATCCCAAAAAGGTGCCGGAACTCTGTTCTGGGCATTCTATGAGAAAAAAAGCCCTGGGCAGAACCATCTCTGAGTGATTCTGAACCGAATTTTTTCCCCTGAAAAATGTTGGTTTTAAATCAAAATCAGAGGGCACCAAAATTCTAACTCTGCTCAGGCACACACAGCAATGGTCACTGATAGTACATAAACAAACAAACAAACAAACAAACAAACAAATATTAATACATATACATATATAACCCATTGACCACCTTCCCTCTTTCTTCAACTGTATACACTTCATATGACATTTCCGCATGATGAGGAAGCAAACCAATCACTTGAGAAGCCATAGAATTTGGGGGACAGCATATAAACACCATAATAAACAAATACTTTTTTTTTTTTTTTTAGCAATTCAGCATGACAATTATTCAAAATAAGGCTGGATCCTGGGAACCGTGGGAATTCCAACCTTCTTTTTCTGTGGAAGCACCTGCTCAACCACCTGCTGAAAATCCCCCATTGTCACCGAGTTTCTTTAGAAGGAGTGAAAATGACATCACACCTTGATATAGAACCAAGGAAATGCTAGTCTACATGTCTACAGTTACTCTCATAGTGCAGCCTGGTGCCTGTCAAATATATGAAGATTGCAACTCCCAGAATTTGTAGACCTCACAACATTGGGCTGTCTGGGAAGTCTAGATTTCATAGTCCCAGTTTATCTAAATGGAGACAAGTCGAGAACAGCTATTCTAAAAGGACAAAGGAACATCTGGAGTCAGGTTTTGATGACTAATAGAGCTTTTTTTCTGGAGCATGAGTCAAAGAGAAAAAGGTTGGATGTAGAAATGTTTTGACTTTGCTCGATGGGATTAGGACATAATACGGTACTTACTGGATTTTTTTCTTATTGTTTTTTTCCTTGATGAAAGTTTCCAATTTAGATCAATTTGCATGGAGGATTAAATTGTTTCATTGCTTTTTCTGTTGCTAAACATAACAACCTAAATCCCACCCACAGATTTTGACAGAAAGTGATATTGTTAGCTTCGGTTAAACAACTGGATTCCTTAGTCTGAACATGTGGTGGTAGACAATGTGAAGGGAGGAGTTGAAGTGGGTTTAATAGAAGCCTGCAAGAAACATTAATTGCTATGACAACAGGGAAAAATATACAAAACTTATATTAGAAGAACAATAAAGGCAGAACCACAGTGCTTTAGTTATACCAATTAAAGAAAGAAATAAAAATCCAAATTATAGCTTTTTTTCAAAGGAATTACATATTTTTGATGGTGTTTTGGAACGTTACAAGGTGAGAAAGGGTAATAATATAATTTTTAGTGTTGCTCTGGACCTGGAGCTATTCTGAACCAAAATTGATTCTATACTGAATAAAGTAACTTACAACTGGTCTTTACACTTAGGGCTGTCACAACATCCCCATGGTCATGTGATCAAAATTCATGCACTTCTCAAACAATGGTTGCAGTGTCCTGGGATTATATGACTACCATTTGCAACCTTCCCAGAAAGTTTCCAACAAGAAAAGTCAATGTGGGAAGCTGGATTCACTTAACAACCATGTGAGCCACTTAATCATGGTCAAAAGGTCATAACAATTGAGCACAAGCCACTTTAATGACTGCATTGCTTAGCAGTGAAATTTCCAGTCCCAACTGTGGTCATAAATCAAGGACTCCCTGTAATTTGAAAACAAAATCCCACAGGATGAGTTCTTTTATAATTCTTACTTGGAATTTATCAGAAATACTAAATATAGTTAGATATATGTCTTATGCTATATAAGACATATATAGCATAACCATTCGTTTAGCAACTGTTTGAAGTTACAACATCACTGGGAAAAAAAGTGACGTAGGTCCAGTCTGTATCTGGGTGATATGATTGCCATTTGAAACCTTCTCAGCCAGCTTCCAACAGAAAATCAACAGGGAAAGCTGAATTCACTTGCTGTATATGCTGGCGTATTAGGCGACCTGGCGTATAAGATGACCCCCGTCTTTATCGCCGAGCCGCATTCCTAGAACGTCATCTTATACACCAGAAACTACCAGTATTTCTGGCATATAAGACGACTCAGCGTATAAGACGACCCCCGTCTTTGGCGCCGAGTTTAGCGCTTCCAGAAGTTGTCTTATACGCCGGCATATACAGTAATAACTGCGTGGTTCACTGAATGACTGTGCAAAAAGGTTATAAAATCAGACAATAAATCTCACTTAACAGCTGAAATTCTGGTCCCAGTTGTGTTCATAAATTGTAATAAATAAGTTCATACTTGTAATAAATGACCAAATTCATTAACTTTCATGTCCTCCTTATTCTCTTTTCTCTCAATATGGAGGAAAGTTAGTTTGGGAACCTCCAATTATTTATCACATAAATAATTCAAGTTTTCCTTTGCCATTCTTAAAAAAAAACATAGGTGTTTCATTAGGTGTTTATCTGTATCATAATGATTGCATGTCTACTCATTATCCTCAGTATAGGGTTCAAGGCACCACAGGATATACCCTGTTTGAAGGCTTCTGGCAAAGATGAATATCACCATGTCACGTGGCAGAGTGTTCATCTGGCTGAGAGCTTGTACAGTCAAGATATTCATCCTGAGCTGTAGCTTGAGCTTTCTTTCTTGCAAATACTTCCTGGTAAACCTATAAGTTTAACTCTCATAAAGCCAAAATGTATTAAATACATGTGGAGTAGGCACATTAATGATGTACTCATTTAGCAATCACAATTGGGTCTGGTATCTCTATCCCTGAGTGATGTCATTGTTAAGTCAGACACCACATAACAGCAACTTACCCTTTCAATGCCAGCTGATGCTGCTTGTCAGAAGCCAGCTGTGAAGTTCATAAATGGTGATCACACCACCACAGCACACTGCAACTGTCATGAACACCTGCTGTTTGTAAACCACCCAAATTGCAATCTGGTTGGAATACATGTTGAAATGTATTGTGTGCAACAACTGCAACAGTATCCAGCCAATAGATGGCAGTGTTTGTAAATTTGCTAGGAATAATCTATGGTAGGTACTCTATGGCCTTTTTGTTCGGAAGAGTTTCCTAGTAACAGTTAAAACAGTTAAGCAACAAGGCCCATGGTGACTGTACACTTCGTTTATTCTGTAGGGCTATACATAAACAGAATTTCTAACACAATCGTGTGACTGTGGGGATACTGCAACAATTATAAGTGTGAGGACCGATCATAATGTCACTTTTTCAGCACCATTGTAACTTCTAACAGTTGCTAAACAGGGTAGTTATTAAGCAAAGGCCACCTGTAAAGCCAATATAAATTTATCTTAGCTCTAGTCATTTCTTTATTCTGGCTCCATCTATATCTCATTCAAACATAAACCTTGGTCTAGGTTGCATTCCCCTGATTAAAATGCTTCTTTTTAAAACTTGATTGACTGTCTTAAGCGCAGAGGCAACTTGCAACAACTGCCTGTTTGGCCAGAAGCAAAATTATTGCATCTGCCAGGGATCATTAATCCGGCTGGCAAGCTAGCGATTGGGGGTAAAAATGGAAAGCCTGAGAGAAGGCCTTAGCATCATAACTAAGGAACCAAAAGGTAGTTGTAATTATGGATTCATGAAGCTATAAAAAAAGAATAATTTTTAAAAATAATTTATAGTTTTGCTTGAGTCAAGACAAGTGCCTAATTACTTTGCAATGAGTAAATGTTACCTCTAGAAATATTTCTAATGCTCTTTACCTTTGTAATCATGTAAATGCACTCTTTAAAGTAAAAAAAACCCCACCATCATGGCATAAACTTTCCACGTTAATTCATTTTTAAAATCTAGCAAGATGTGTGTTCATGATTTATTTATGTAGAACTGCACAAATGCATGTTTACCTTACTTCCTTAGGGTTTGTGGTGGGGATGGATTTAGTTATTAATTTATAACCCCTTCCTCTGTCCCTCAAGCTTGGTTTGATTCCTTATAACAGTACAGTGTTTTAAAAGGCTATATTTTGATTATGGAGTTTTCCTCCTTTTCCCTTAAGCCTGTAAAGTATTAGAAAGTGGTGATATATGAGCTACCTTCTCTGGAATGTCTGTTGCTGAGAGATTTAAAGCGTTATTGGAGTATACACAGATTTCAATGGAAGTACTGTAAATCTTTTTAAAAATATTTATTTTTCTTAAATCATGTGGGCATGAAATGAAGAATTGAAATAAATGACTGGGTACCTTGTATAACCCATTACAATCCAGAGAAAGGAATTCTCCTTTGAATCCCCTGGGTTTCAGTGTGTACATAGTGTATGTCATATACAGTATTTTGAGGGAGGGGAATATTCAGCCTCCAGTTGTGAAAAATCAGGTCTGAAATGTCCATCTTCCTCTTGGTGGAAGTCACGTGTCACAATATTTGCCTTGGGCCAGAATAAAACAAGGTCCACCCTTTTGCTATGGACCTTGTTTTGCAAAGCTGTAATTCTTTTTCCTTTATGCTGCCTTCCACTTTCCTTCCAGTGAAGAGGTTTGAGAACAACAAGCATTTCTGTGAATCTTGCAACTGAGGTCTTTTTATAGCAGAGGTCTGAAATAACATATCTGAAATTTATTTTGTGTGGATTTTGTTTGTAAACAGATGGATATACCAGATTTTGTTGGGATAACTATAATTAATTATATTTTAATATATATGAGGATTATAATGTATTTCATAAAGATGCTATTCAGCCACAAAGAATGAAAAAAAAATCCATTTTAGGCCAAATCAAGGTCAGATAATAGCATGTGAAGCTTTTCATTATGTAAGATTTTGAACAAAGGAAAGGGGACAGAGGGAAAAATGTGTGGTGCAAATTCTTAAATATCTTTTATTTTCTTATTTTAAAGTAAGTCTCCTGAAATGCAATAATGCAGCTATTTGAAGATGTCAAATTATGCTGTCTGGAATTCTGAGATGCTTCTTTCAGTTGTACATTGGATGCTGGGATAAACAAGCAGGTAAGAGGGTAGAAATCTTATTAAGCTTTCAGTCAAAACCCAGTGAACGGAAAAGGTCTCTGTTGAGAAGTAATCAGAAGGAATCTGAAAAGCTGCATTCTGTCTCTGTATCTGCATCATCTCAAGACAAAATCCCCTCAAAGCCATTTCAGGATCCTAAAATCTAGGTAGATTTGGGCAGAAAGAGGCAATCCTTCAGGTATTATGGTCATAAAGGTTTTACAATTTCAAGTTATTGCTTCACTAACTCATTTCATATTCTGCCTGGAAACTTATTATCTAATACTGGTGGTTGTTTAATGTTTCTTTACTGTTTCTGAAAAGAGGTCAGCAGTCATCCAGATCAGTCATTTGATAGTCCATCTGTATATGGACAATAATATGAAAGGATGAATTCCTTTAGCTGATAGGTTGCCTGTTGTGATCCTGAGCACATCACTTAGACGCAATTCAGTATGATTTGACATACTGAATCTACTGTATTTTGGAATATGTTGTGTGTTGCATCTATTCAGGTCTATCAGTTTAGGACCAATTTATCTTCCAGTCTTGAGGAAGAAGTGAAATCCTATGACAAAAGTGTGACAGCACTTTAAAGAAAGGCCTACTATCATAGTACTACAATGTACTAAATAGACAGGTCCATTATGAAGACATTGGCTCAATTGCTATACTTTTCGCGAACAGTTCTGGAGGTGATTTCACATATTAACACACATTAAAATTATTCCTTTACATTGAAAAGGTCGATACATTATGCTAAGACATAATGTGATCTATTTTTGGCTTAACAGAATGTGTGAATTCTATCAAATATGATTTATTTAAAAAGTCATACTTATCACAACTGCTGTGGTAGCGCAATAATTAGAACACAGTATTGCAGGCTAACTCTGCCAACTGCCAGCAGTTCCATTCTCACTGGCTCAAAGTTGATTCATCCTTCTATCCTTCCAAGGTAGGTAAAATGGGGACTCAGATTATTGGGGGCAATATGCTGACTCTGTAAACTGCTCAGAGAGTTATGTAAAGCACTATATAAGTCTAAGTGCTATTGTTATTGCTATCACAATTGTGGCTTAAGGCAATAGGTGAATGTACCATGATGTGGATTTGCCTCTTCATAGCATCCAAATAAATCTGATAATAATTAATAGTGTTTTGAATAATCAATAGTATTTAAATGAGAAAAAAAATCCAAGGATATTCTGGGGTACTCAGTGGCCTAAATCTGTAACATGTTAACCAGATTGTGATCTAGTTGGAGTCGAGTCCACAGCCAAATTCTTACATCCTAAGAAATCAGTGGATCTCTTATTTTACTCATCAAATGTGTCTTGTGGTTTTCAAAAAGAGACATAATCATGATAAATGTAAGCATGATCTGAGCTCAGATCAGGGCTTTTTTGTTGTTGTTGTTTAAAATAATCCTTAACTAAACAGAAATGTAGATGTCCACTAAATAAAAATAAAGATCTGGAGTAAATGTTAACTATTTGTTCTCTAGAGATTTGCAGCCCAGATACAGTAGCCCTACCATGGGATCATTTTTAAATACCTCCAACCTGTTTCAGATAAAGTTTTCCATTACTAAACTTGAGGATCTTATGAGATGATGACTCTTCATAACCATGCTTGTGATTTCAAAAATACTAAAACTGCTCACTGAAACAAGGAAAAGATAAACATTGATTTTTAGGAGTTGTGCCACTAATTTGCAGATGATGAAATCTGTATAATGAGAAGCAAACAGAATACAATTTTTAAGCTGCTGTTACTGCTTTCAATAAAAATATCAGAAAGTTCTCCCCTTAAAGGCTTTGCCTTTAACTCATGGCAGAAGAATTGAAGCCCTTCAGGTCCAAGATGCCAGCTTCTTGTGCCAACATAGAAGATGATTAAAAGAAAGTAAAACAGATAATTTTCCCCAACTATAGGCTACATTCATATATGACTGTTGGAAAGTCAGGTGATATTCCTAAGAACGGTTTCGTAGTTTAAGTACAGCATAGCAAATGAAATCTCATTTTTGATTTGTAAGTATATGACTTTCACTTCTAGTCTGTTCTCAACAAGAATATTCTTCTACCCCAATGAGTACCATTACTACCTACTTGTTGGCTTATGCATATTTATTTTTAAAAAAATCACCTGCTTGTTTCTCTATCCCAATCTTCCTCAGTCTGAAGTGCTGGATTTCAATCATCACCATAGCCACCTTTTTATGTGTTTTGGGTGCCTTCACATCAGTCCTGATTCTTGATGACTGCCTGGACAAGTCCTGTAGATTTCAGAAGTGGTTCCCAGGGCTTCCTAAGTTTGAGAGAGAGAGTAACTGGGCTGATATCTCCCACCTAACTTCATGTCTAAGGCAGGACTAGAACTCATGGTCTCCTGGTTTCTAGCTGATGCTTTAACCACTACACCAAACTGGCTCTTTTTAATTGTCAGCTGGAAGATAAATAGCAACAGACCTTAGGCATTTATGAAATGAACACAAAGAACAATTTTATGACAATTGTAGCTACATAGAGTTAGCTAAACTATTTTTCTTTCTTAATATTCAGAAGTCATATTTAAAGTCTTTATTTGATTGACATTACAGAAAGAGTGATGCCTAACGGCATTTACTAGCTAGAGATTAATCATGTGGAGCTATTCTTTTCAGCTACTGAATCACAAAAAGAAAGGGGTTTCGTTTGAGATAATTGTTAAATATCTAAAAATATGGCTTATTTAGAGTTAATTTTATGGAAAAAAATAGTTCTTATTTATTCAAGATGAACATGTTTTGGAGCAAGATGAGTCATTGTCACAAGCGAGCTGATTCCATGAACTCTCCTCCATGGGTTTATGGAATCTTGATTTCTTTCAACAACTTTGTGTTGTGATAATAACCAGCTGCTCTAACTTCATTTAATGAGAAAACTATGACCCTTGTTTTCTTTATTATCTGGTGTTGTTCATTCATGCCTGTGTAAACTTGAATATCAGTGGCCAAACATGCCAAAGCAATCTTTCAGCTTGAACTTTTTTTTTCAAAATCCTAGAGCAGATGCTGGATAATATTCTTTGAAGACTGCAGCTATGCTATCTCTACAATAATCCATTAGTCCCCTAGCATTTGCTTTAGGGTTTGCCAGCATATGACTGTAAAGTTTAAAAATTGCTTTGGCATGTTTGAGTATTAGAGTATAAAATAATGGTCTAATGCATGGGTCAGCAACCCATGGCTCCGGAGCCACATGTGGCTCTTTGAACCTTCTCCTGCAGCTCCCAGCCTCCTCTGCCATTTGTAGAGACAGAGAGAGAGACTTGCACTTCCCTGCTTCCCTTCTCTCTGTGTGTGTTTGTGTGTGTGTAAAAAGAGAGTGGCTCACGCCACACTGTTCCAACGAGCTGATAACTTATTGGGTGGGGCTCCTCCCTTTGCTGCATCTCTGCAGGAAGCAGGAAGGGCAGGAGAGAGCCAGCCCAATAATGTGTGTCAGCTTGCCAGGTGAGCAGAAGATCGGAGAGAGGGAGAGGGAGGGGGAGAGGGAGGGGGAGAGAGAGGGGGGGAGAGAGAGAAAGAGAGGGAGAGAAAGAGAGAGGAAAGAGGGAAAGAGAGAAAGGAAGAGAGAGGGAGATGAAAGAGAGACAGAGGGGGAGAGAAAGAAAGCTAGAGAAAGAGAGGGAGATAGAAAAGAGAGAGAGGGAGAGAAAAAGAGGGAGAGGAGAGCGGGAGAAAGAGAAAAAAGAGAGAGGGAGAGAGAAAAAGGGAGAGAGGGGGGAGGAAAGAGAGAAAAGGAGAGAGGAAAGAGGGAGATGAAAGAGAGAGGGAGAGGAACGAGAAAGAGAGAGGGAGAGAAAGAGTGAGAAAGAGAGGGAGAGGGGGGAGGAAAGAGAAAGAGGGAGAGAGAGAGGGACAGGAAAGTGTGAGAAAGAGAGGAAAGAGAGGAAAAAGAGAGAGGGAGAGGAGAGGAGAGAGAGAACTCATGCATAGCAGCCCCTATTTATTTTTAATTAAACTCTTCAATCAAGCTCTCCCCCCCTCGCACGCACAGGCACAACTTTTGCAGCTCCCAGTGTTTTCTTTTCTCTGGGAAACGGGTCCAAGTGGCTCTTTGAGTGGTTAAGGTCGCAGACCCCTGGTCTAAAGCCTCCAACATTTTGAGTACCAGGTACTAGTTCTGTAGAGAGAGGTTTCTCTGTGGTCTGGAGAGGATGTGGTTTCATGTGCTGCCTGCATCCCACAGATGGGGCTTCACTTGTCTGCGCAGCCCAGTTTCTGGCATGCTGCGGCCTGGTGTTGGTCCATGGACTGAGGTTTGGGAACCCCTGGTCTAATGGTCAAGAGAATATTCCAAAACTCAGATAATCTCAGTAGAAGATTACTATTACTATATCATCCATATACAAAGTACAGAAGGATGGTTCTGCCATTCTTTAAAAAGCCTGCACATGGGGAAGAATATAAAACAGTGAGACGCAGGAGAAGTACTTCTACAATAGTATTTGTGCAAATTCTTTTATAGAAATTGTTAGGCTCCATAAAACAAGAAAGATATGTAGTGATTGTTCCCAGTAGATTTTTTTATTCTTTATTTTTATATTTCTTCATACTTATAGGCAAAATCTTGTCAAACTGAAGCAAACTAAACTTACATCAAGCATATACTCTAGGAACAATTGGGGAGGAGCTGCCTTCACCCTCTATCTCTCACATAAATTATCTACCATACTTCCCCAAAAATATTAACCCAACTGAAAATAAGATCCAACCGGAAAATAAGCCCTAGCATGACTTTTCAGGATGCTTGTAATTTAAGCCTCACCCCCAAAATAAGCCCCAGTTAAAATCATCAGCCAGACGGACACATTTAGTACCATATTTTCCTGAAAATAAAACCTAACTGGAAAATAAGCCCTAATGCATCTTTTGGAGCAAAAATTAATATAAGACCCAGTCTTATTTTTGGGGAAACACGATACCTTCTACTCCTCTGGAAAACACTCCCTCCCTCCTGGGAATCCAGACTACATTCCATCACAGAAATTAACTTTCTTAATTTTGAATATTAGTAATGTTCATATTAATCATATTAATGCCAATCATATTAAAATCATATTTACTATGATTCTATCTAGTCTTTATTCTTTACTTCAAGTTTACTATTTACATTCCTTATTTCTTCTAACAGCATCTCCTTCTAGTGGCTAACAGCATTCTTTAGAACATACTTTAAGAAAGCAACAAATAAAATAATATGCCAAGGAGTGAAAATACATCTGAATTTTTCTGAGTTTGCATATATTTATTTCATGTTATTACAGGTATGTACTAAAAGTCAGTAATAGTCCTGTTACATAAGCCTTAGAAATATGAGAAGAGGATTAAATACAATTGATACAATTTGTTAGTCAGTTCACAGTTGGGGTGGCATTCAGGGTTAGAACCCCTTCACTTGTGTATCTCATATGCTTAGGCTCCTGACATCGTATGTCCTCTGATTTCAATTATGCAGAATTGCAGGATAAATTAAATATGGGATTTCTGGATTTCTCATTTGCTAACTCTTATCAAATATTTATCTTTCCACCTTAAAAGAAATTAGAACCTTTCTTGGATTTTACATCAATCATTTAAGATGCTTGCATATATCCAGATTTCGTCTGATTGAATACATCTGTTTTGAACAACATTTTTGGGAAAGGATTATTTCTACTTTTTCAGTTTATACTGCCACCCAAAACACACATTAGATTACCATAGCAATGATTTGATGGCACCATGTATTGATAACATAGCATGCAGCAAATAGCAAAAAGCAGGTACATGTGATTGCAAAGGTTATCCTTCCATAAAAGAATATGACTGTCTGAGAAAAATGGCTTTTCTTCATAGGCTACAATTAAAGACAGTTAGGGAAATATTTCTCAGGAAACGTTACCTGTATAAAATCCAAGGAAATTTAATATAGATCGATTTCATTTCAATGTCAGCTGAACATGAGAAAATTGTTGTATGTTCTTTGCAAAGCTGTTCCCTTGGTCAGTCCTCAGATCCAAAGCAACTCTATTCTATTAGAGTGCATCAAAATGGAGAGACTTCTTTGGAGAGACTTACAAGGCTAAGATTCCAAAAAAAGTCAACCATACAATTTGGCAAGAAAAACTGATAAGAGGTTCCAATGTAGCATTTTTTTCTCTGACTCAGACACCTGTCTCCTATTTTTACACAACTTTAGCAACAACTTTGTACACAATGGCTACTCCTCTTCAGAGTGCAAAAGATCTTGGCATTATGTCACAATGTCAACATAAAGCCCAGTGAGTGAAATGTAGCTAATCTTAAATCAATGGGAATGTTTTAAATCGTTAATAATAAACAATGTCTAGATATAATCTGGTTTTTCTGTTGTGCAATATTTCCTACAAAATAGGTACCCATGGCAGTATATTTGAACAATTACTGTACCTTAAAAAAAAACTTCATTGAGATTTCCATAGTGATTGTCACAACAGCTGCACGGTTGCCAAATTCTAAAATAGTATTTCTATGATAGTTTCCTTCTTCTCATTCATTGTGCCCTTTGTTCTTGAAATCCCAATTGCAAATGGATCCTACTATGAGATTACTATCTGCCAGTATCATATTTTCCTGAAAGCCACATTATAAGATCTTTCTAAGATAATTTAAGTAATCAATTTCTTAGTTTCTTACTCATATAATGGAAAGAGGTCCAGCCAATTTAGCCAGGAATTAATGCTAAATTATTCCAATTTAAATCAGCATATAATACTACCTCCTGCATATCAATAAAGTATTCATTTACCAAAGAATATTTTGTTACATGGAAATCTATTAATATGACTAAAACTGGTCTTACAATTATTATAATAATGTATTCCATGTAATTGTATTGCATTTGTTAAAATTCTATTAATAATTACAGTTCTACTTATTTTATTGTTGTGCTTTCTGGCCTAAAGGCCATAATAAAGGTTTGGGGTTTTCTGGTCTTAACAGTGCGTATTTATATAGCTCATAATATGTTCTCTCTGGTTCTGGCAAATGGCTTTCCCTTTGTAGCTGAAATTGTGAAGGCATGCTGCATTTGTTTAATTGGTTGGTTAGTCTGGCATTTCTAAACTGTTTGACTTGTGGTTTATGAGACAAGAGTTTCCTCCCAAACAGTCAGGCATGGTAGTTTGTTTTCCCAATAGTCCAGGGAGTTCATGTTATGCCTTTGTAAAGAGCATTTTTACATGATGATGTCACTGTTTGGGGTAAGGTATAACTTATAAATTGAAACCAAATTAAACTGCCATAATATTGCTTCTGGGAATGAAATGCCCACTTTATAGAAAGCTTGAATTGCTCCTCTATCAATGGGCAGCCTACCATCTAGTAGCTCTTGTAAGTACAAATGGGAGATTTCTCCACAATTGTAGGGCATTTTCAAAGCAGTTGCTCTTGTCAGAATTAAGGAAGACGAAACTTTTCCTTGCTTTTGGTAAGTCTAATGATGGGCGATTCCCACTCATAATTGCTGTTAAGATTTTTTAAAGACCAATGTCTAGTTTCTCTGAAAAGCTGGAAACCACATAGCTCCAAAACAGAAATGCCACATTCATGTATGACATATTTATGTATCCAAAACTTCAAGAGTTCAGCAACCCTAGGCAGTTGAAATTCTCCAGCCAGCTGAAGTTCACATATTTTAAAGTTGTCAAGGCTGAGAAACCACTATACCACAGATGCAGTTTTACAGCTTATTATGTGCAGGTAGCACAACCAATATAAATGTAAATCAGTTTTAGTCTCCAACATTATCATAATACTGGTAACTGTATTGGGGAGAAGAAAAGAGAAAGAACAATGGAAAGCAACTGTTTATACAGTATTTATTCTCATTTTGTTAAGGTCTTTCTAATAAGTATTGACTTCTGATAACTACAAGGACCTATTGATTTAGGTTTTTTTTATCATATTTCAAATAGTCTGCTGCTGGCTGTTTTGGGGATTTTTTTTTAAAGTTCCCAGTCTAATCTATAGCCCCGGGATTTTCTGGTGTTTCCTATTTAACTACTGACCAGTTTCAACCCTAATGAGCTTTTTTGATTCAGGTTAGCTAGGCAATATCACATGCTAAGAGGTAATGCATGATATTTTATATCTTTATTTTTCACATTTCTGAACTATCTACCTTCCTCGAAGAGGGACCCTGGGTGGTGTACAATAAAATGCTAAAATATAAAACAGAGTATAAGGGTACAATTGGAAGGAAAGGAAAAGACATCGTAAGTTTGCCTAAGCAACATACTTTCCCTCCATTATTTCACATTGGCCCTTTTGGGGGAACAATCAAGAATGAACTTGTCTCGGGGTTAAGCATTCGTTTTCATCCAGAGTTCTCTGGATACTTAAAGCAGTCTGTGATATTTTAGTCTTTTCAAAATATGATCGAAAACAAGATTACATTTGTTTCTCTGGATGTTTTCCTACTGATGTAACTCCTGAACCCTCCTTGTAAGATAGATAGATAGATAGATAGATAGATAGATAGATAGATAGACAGACAGACAGACAGACAGACAGACAGACAGACAGACAGACAGACAGATAGATAGAAAGATAACCAGTTTTTCTGTGGAGATTCTCAACCATCCAGGTCATGGTTGTCCCTGAACCTTACATTAAATTAAAGAGAGAGAAATGTTGTCTGGATAATTCTCCTTCATAGGGAGACACAAAGTACCAAATTACCTGGATGCTGAAGAAAGGCTAGTTGGGTTGGAGTGTCTTGTTTGCATCCCATTATTGATCAGCGGTATAATTTGAAGTGGTATGTTTTTGAGTTCAGAATAACAGAATAACAGAGTTGGAAGGGACTTTGGAGGTCTTCTAGTCCAACCCCTTGCTCAAGCAGGAGACCAATACCATTTTAGATGAATGGTTGTCCAATCTCAGCAGCAGTGAAAATGTATATTGAACAGTTTTAAACTGTTTCATTGGGTTTGGGGAACAGAAAGCATGGCGTGGCAATGTTTTTAGTGTACACAATCTTCAAATGCTTACAGGTTTTTGGATCTCACCTAAGACAAGTGTTTCCTTAGGAACAGTCACTATCTTTAAAATGACAGCCATGACTGAGTGATTGAAATGTTGCCCTTTTGATGTGCATGCAATGCACACAACACACATTTGGGGCAGGGCCTTGATCACATTTTTATTTCAAGTTATTGCTCTGGGGGGGGGGGGAAGAATCTAAATGTCAGTGTTTGCACATGAACAAGATTTTATCACTTGGGGGAACAATTTAAATAGTAATAGTATGATGAATATATTGTAAGCTTTTTTTTAAAAGGAGAAGGAAGGAGAGGAGGAGATGGACAGATGACAGTCTCTTGCAGTTTGAGGCACATGAAACTTGGCATACTGACCTTCCTTTTAAGTGGTCCTGGAGGAATGTGAATAGACTGGACAAAACTTCATAAAGACTAAATTTTGCATTGTGCGCACATACTTTCAGCTCAAAGGGCAGAGGACACTCTTTGTTTCAATCTTCCAAGTAAGTTATAAAATTGTTCAACTGATGGTACAGATGAAGCTATGTATTTCCTTTAAAATGTCTTTTTAAACAATAAATAAATAAATACAGGTATATGTTGTGCTACTTTGTAGACAAAGCTCTCAGGGAACAACACACTGAAGGGGAAATAAAATATAGTGATTAAGATTGCACTAAACCACATGGGGCTAGCCCTTAGGGCTGGGTTTCATCTGCATTTAATTTCCATATTAAGATATCTTTGCATTACAACTAAGGCTTTGCATTTTCTCTTTCTGAAAGGAAGACGAACAGAACCATGCAGCTTCAGGCATTTGGGAAGAGAGCACCAAAATTTCATCTTAGATTGACTAACAGAATCAATTCTCTGGGCCAGTCTCACTAAGGAAACGGGCAGGGACATGGTCAAGTAATTAAACATGCATTGGGATATCCTGCTACATGTATGGAAGAGTTTATTTCATGCTAAGATGCATTTTTCAATTTTGATGTTATTATGGCTAGCTATGATCACCCATGCTGGTTTACTTTTCTTAACATTGCACAGACAGCTCAGCAGTTCATCCAAAAACTTTCTATCCAACTAGCATCTGATTTTTTAACTTGTTCATTCTAAATGAATGGAGTGGCATGGTGGCTCAACAGTTAAGATGCTGGGCTTGTTGGCTGGAAAGCTGGCAGCCCAAGTGTCCACATGACAGAGTGAGCTTCCCTCCTCATCCCAACTCCTGCCAACCTAGCAGTTCAAAAGCATACAAATGTGAGTAGATAAATACTGTAGGTACCACTTCAGTGGGAAGGTGACATGCTCCATCACGTCACGTGGAAATGTCTTCAGACAGTGCAATCTCAATGGCCTTGAAACAGGGATGAGCACTGCGCCCTATAATCGGCAACAACTAGTGGAGTAAAATCCACAAGGACTTCTTTACTTTTTTTTAAATTCTAAATGAGTACTGAGTACTGCAAAGTGAGGTGGGAGGGACAAATAATTTGGTCTGGCAAAAATCAAAAGGAATTAATAATTTTAAAAAACTATCTTTAGACAGAATGAATAAGCAACAAAATGACAAATAGCATTCCATACTTGCGGCTATCTGCCCTTTGGGCAGTTTTCAATACTATCAACCATGGATCTGGATCAGTGGGTGGCAAAGTGTTGTGCTGGTTCACTTGATTTCCTTGGGGTGGGTTCCAATTGGTGATGATTGGGGAGAAGAGGTCTCACTCTTTCTGCCCCTATGTGGTCTGTCCTCTCCTCTACATCCTAACATCTAAATGAGTGAACCATTGATACCCACTTTTATATCTCTGCCCATGGCATATTGAGTGATGGAGGCGCTGAGAGTCTGGATGGGAAACCACAGGCTTCAGCTGAACCCTGATAAAACAAGGTTGTGGGGCCTGCTTGTTCTATCTTCTTTGATGTTGGATGGGATGCAGTGCCCCACACAGACCTAGTGCACAATCTGGGGGTCCTCCTAGACTCATGACTCCCACTTGAAGAGCCAGGTGGAAATCATGGCTAGGAGAACATTTGCAAAACTTTGAATTATGTGCCAATTGTGCCAGTTTCTAAATCAGCAGGCTCTGCTCAGTCACTCATGCCCTAATCATCTGGACGATTGGACTATTGTAATGTGCTCTACATGGGGCTGCCCTGCAGCTGACGTTTCAACTAGTACACAATACAGCTGCATAGACAGTTATGTGTGCTCCCAGAACAGCACATGTCATATCTCTGCTCCATAAGATGCACTGATTGCTGATTTGCTTCTGGGTCCAATTCAAGGGGCTGCTTTTAACCTTCAAAGTCCTTCTAAGACCAGGAACCATCTCTCCCCAATTATAACAGCCCATTCCATAAGATCTGGTAGACAAGGCATCCTGCAAGCACTATCTACAAGGAATTTACATTTGGTAGGTCCCAGGAAACAGGCCTCCTTTACCATGGTAGCTGTTTTATGAATATTCTCTTTCCCACCCAGCCACCCACCCACCACATCCACCCAAACACACACATCAAACTCATGTTACTTCCATCTCTCTTGACTTCCAGAAGTACCTCAAGACCATGCCTGGGGGGTCTCAATGAACCAAATATATGTTTAGATGACTCCACTTCTGCAATGGATATACTCAGTCCCTTTTTCCCTGGTGTTTTTATATTTTATTTTTAATAATAATCTTTCATACTGATTTTTATATTTTTATAATTGCTTTATATGTGTGCTGTTTTTACCTCATTGTTGTATACTGCCCAGAGTCACTTTCATGAAATGGATAGCAGTACAAATTTGATAAATAAACCTGGCTTGATAGTTATTATATCTAAAATAATGCCTTGCACATAATTTTCTTTTCATGTGTATGTTGAGTTGCCAGTAATGAATCTTAAAAATCAGAGTGAATGTTACAGTGAAGATACAATTGTACCTCACTAATAGACTGCTTCAAAACTCGTCAAACCTGGTATTCGACACATTTTGATGTGAAAATGTTGTCCTGGTACTCATAGTTTCTTTGGTATTCCTCACACTGTGAAAGGAAGAGGCCACAGAAGATGAACAGGAAGTCAGCCATGCTGGGAAGGTCACTGACATACTGTGTTTCCCCAAAAGTAAGACCTACCCCCAAAATAAGCTCTAGCTTGATTTTTTGGGGGTGGACCTAATATAAGCCCCACCCCAAAAATAAGCCCTAGTTTTGGGGCAAGGCACACACCTAAAACTCAAGCTAGGATGGGGGTGGGGGTATGGAACTGTTCCATGTGCCCTACATCTGTTTACCGTCACAGCTAGACCTCCCATGAATCGATACATGCCTCACCTTGCCAGCCCACTTCTTCTGTGACCATATTTCGCTGTCAGAGGCCTTCTGGAAAACCTCTGCAGTTGAGAACTGAGTTACAGATTCAATCCGTAGCTCAGGTTTCGGCTGTAGAGGCCTTTCCAGAATGGCCTCTGACAGTGAAATGCAGGCCAGAGCTCCATTCTTCGCTGCAGAGGCATTTCCTTCGGTCACAGAAGTGGGCTGGCTGGGCAGGGCTGTTGGTGCTACCGCTGTGAGGTGAGACCATGGAAAAGACACCCCCTAAAAATAAGATCTCATGCCTCCTTTGGAGTCAAAAAAAAAAAAAAAAAAGAAAGAAAGAACCGGGTTTTATTTTGGGGAAAACACGGTAGAAAAAAAGGACAGAAAGTTTCTCCTGGCTAAAACAAAAGGTCATGTGGTAAATCACCTGATTTTTTTGGTACCCATAGTTTTTAGTACCTGTTGTGCCACCCAGAATCAATTAACATCAAATACCGAGGTGTCACTATACTAATCTAAATTTGTAATTGCGGGCAAATTCCATTGAAGGCATCAACAAGAAACAACCAAACTACAGACAAATAAGTGGTATGACAGTACTCAGCCTATTGCATACATTTGTGAACACATTTTAAAATATGATATTGGAGAAGATGCAAAAAAAAGGACAAGCACAGTTACTGATGGACTAATTGAAGTTGGAAAACAGGATGTAAGAAATAAAGAAGGAACTTATGTTTATATTCCCTGCATTGTCTGCAAGAAAATAATAGGTTTGAACTGTACTACAGGAAGAACAAACTTAGTGCTAAAACCATTTCAGTACCTCCAAATAAGTCCCAGCCTTAAAAGACAGAAGGGTGATTTATGGAAATGTATATGTCTTTCTGAAATACTAAAAAAAAAAAAAAGTTACCGTAAGACCAATGGTTCAAATACTCAGGAACATTTTGATGCTTAATATAAGAAAGAGAATGCTGAATCAAGTTATGAAAATTCAATAGATAACATGAAAAATCCAAACTGAACAAGAAACATCAGCATAAAAAATCTAAATAAGGAGAAATGTTAAGCATAACAGTTAAAGTTAAAAATCTGTTAAATTAAGTACTTAGGTTCTTTTTTTAAAAAGCAAGCTATTCTGTCTTTTGCACCCAATTTACACTATAAAATGGTTACACAGTGTTTTCTTTATATCTTTTTCCATTTAAAAAAAATCTATAAGTAGAGATGTTATAGCCCAAAGCAAAATTATTTTCTTTTGCAGGGAAGTATGAAAACAATTACAATTTTGGGGGTGGGTGGGGAATAATACTAGTAATCTTCTCCTATGCCTTGTATCTGGTACATACCCTAAGAATGTTTATTCAAGTGCATTAGTGAAGAATATTTTAATGTTAACTGTTCTAAAATGGTGCTATTCAAGCAGCTCACATTAATGGGAATGCCTTTAATACCAGATATGATACTTTGCAGTAGTGGAGGAAAAAGTATTTACCCTTAAAATAGCTGACCTGGATCTAGTCCAGGGGTTCTCAACCTTGGCAACTTTAAGACTTGTGGACTTCAACTCCCAGAATTCCTCAGCCAGCAAAGCTGGCTGAGGAATTCTGGGAGTTGAAGTCCACAAGTCTTAAAGTTGCCAAGGTTGAGAACCCCTGATCTAGTCAATCTTTTATTTTTATTCATTATAGAAACTTACCTCCAAAAATCTGTCCAGTTTCTTCACACTATGAATTATTCTTTAAAGTTCTAAGTTAGCTTTGTCCTTATTTCCTTGAAACTCCCCAAAACTGTAACCTTCCAACAAACTTTGTGTTATTTTAGGCACAATTCCACCATGAAAATGATGTTGAAGACAGCTTCAGTTACCATTATAAAGAATAAATAGAGCACAGCAAGCAAATCTTAAACTGCACACACACAAAAAAAGGATTTGGACGCTAACACTACAAGATTTGCTCTTCTGGGAAGTTTTGTAGCAGGAACATGATTACAGCTGAGAAGCTGGGAATTGCACTGAATTCAGGAGTGTGATTCCCATCTTTTCCCTTACATCAACTTTAAAAGAAAGTTGTCTTCTTAAAAGTACTGATATTAGTGACTCCTATTTCAATGAATGCCTGAAACATAATTCTTTCATCTCATCTGTCAAAATACCCCATTTATACCCACTTAGCAGTTCAAAGAAAGAATTTGCAATGTAACTATTGAGCAGAATGGAG